AAAAATGGAGATGGTGCTGGTGAGGTTGTTCTCTGGCTGGGAATACATTTTGACCTTAGTTCTTTAAGTAATTCTGGATCCAGAGAAGGGTCTGGCTTGACAGTTCCTGCGAAATTGTAAAGGCGGTTTTGGTAGAATTTGCAGTGGATTACTCCAATGCTGTGAGCACCTGAAGAAAAGAAGAGTTATAAGGTGAAGGTGGGATGGCATTATTTCTTGCGCATGAAGAAAGAGAAACAACCATAAGCTAGTGCGCCAATTTCTGTGATACAAACTGAAGAAGAGCAAAACCACCAGTTTGGGGGGAATGTGGAACAATATTTTCCAGCATACTAATAGAATCAAACACTATTCAAGTCAAACATATGGTAGTGTTTTTTCACAGAAGAAAAATTTTCATGGATCCAGTTCCAGCAGGTATCTTGATCAAGAAATAACAAAGAACATTTTTTTGACCGAAAACTTGAAAAATGATAAAGAAAAAAGAGGATACAAAATTTTGTTATAGCTCATAGATCAAGATTACTCTCATTTGAAATAAGTCATATTTATCATTCTTCTTTATTAGAGAAGGAGAGAACTCATATTGAAGAACTTCTTTCAACTCGATGGATTTGCATTGCGTTTGTGCATACACCATTTGACTTATTTTTGGCAACATTTATCGATATATTATAAAAAAAAAATACTTAATGGAAAAATTCTCATAACTCGAACAAGTTTCATCATTTGCAAAAACATGTAAAAATTCCGGAGAAAAGGTCAAACTTCTCCTAACTTGTAATATGTTCAATACTTCATTATTATTATTATTATTATTTTTAACACACAAGATCTTACTGTTTAACAGTATACATTTCCTTTTAACAAGTAATGTAATTTATCTTCCACAATTTATTTCTGCATTACGAAAAACAATAATACTTTCTACAGAAAATCTAACAACTCTTAACAGCTTTAAGGTTAGCCAATCAAGAAAGAAAAAACAGTTTTCAGTTTCATTAGCAAAAAGATGTAATAATCCCGAAAAGGAGGTCAAGCTGGCTAGAGTAGGAAAAATACGTATTTTGTACCTAGGAGACTAACAGTCTCTCTTTCATCAAATCCCCTGGATGCAAAAGATGCAAGAGTCTCCGGAAGGTCAGCATTGGGTGCAGGAAGGTCATACGTCGCAGCGTCCATGAAGCTCACATGGCTATCTCTCCGGCCTGTACACAGTGGATAGAATGGGCCACCAGCCTGGAATTCGAAGATTTAGTGATTTATACCAGAGAAAATTATTAGATGAGAGAGGGAGCGAGAGAGAGAGAGTAAGGACTTGCCAAAACGACACCGTCTCTTGCTGCCAATACAAGAATATCTGAACAGGAAACTACACCAGGACATGCTTCTTCAATCTGAGATTTGATTATGTCCATTACATTAAAACCTTTTAAAGATTGATTAGGAGGAGAATCTTTCTCTGACTCAATACCTTCCGCAGGATCCAGTAAGATAGACGCATCACATCCCTACCCAATTGAACCAATACTGTATCAGAGAAACAAATTTCTCATAAATCTGAAGCAAAAATCACGCAACTGAAAAAATTAGATAACATGTATGAGAATTCTACAAATTCGTCCTTGATTTGAACTATATTTGAAATTAATAATCAAGCGGACTTTCCCAAACAATCAAAAAAACAGAAAATGAAAGAAGGTTCACCTGAATAAAGCAATCGTGAAAAGCAAGGCGCAAGAGAGCAGGAGCTACACTTGAGTTAAGCCTGTACAGTTCCGTGACAACGGATCGAATCTTCTGCTCGGCTCCTGTACATGAATCTCGATAAAAATCGTACTCAAGGGATCGAGGAGGAGGGTCTACCGCACGTGACATGTCATTTTCGTCGGACAAGAACAAGGAGTCAGAGGAGAAGGCATCAGGGGAAATGAAAGAGGTGTCTGTAGAAGAGAAGTAGTTAATGGCAGCCATTGAAGACGTGGAAGTGAATCTCCTTTTGGTATCTGCGTTTTGGTTCTTGAGAGAGATGAAGATGCAGATAATGAAAATGAAGAAGCTCAGTTTTGTTATGCTAGTCCTTTCAATGGCTGAAATCGGCATCTTCTTCATCGGGTCTTCTGTGTTTTCCGACGTCAGGGTCTGGTTTTGTTGGAAGAAAGGATGTTGATGGCGGGAAGCTTGATGACGAAATGACGACAATACCCCTTCTAACAGAAAGTTTGTTACCGTGTACAGTAATTGGCCAATCATGACCGTCCATTTTGAGTCTGTTTATGTAAATGATGGGTCTGGATTTGGCCCAACATATAACTTAAAAATTAATTTAATAGAATTTACCTATAAGTTTCTCTTATATCATATAATAAAATTTAAAATTTGTAATAAATAAAATTAGAGCATAAGGATTTTGCATGAACAAATTCAATAAACTTATATTGAAATTATTCTAATTTTAATCTTAGGTTAAAAAAAATTTCATACATTAATTAGTCATTTATTATTTGGTTTCAATTTATTCGAACTGCATTAAACTTTATTTTTTTTGAAGTTAAATTCAAGAGAAGAGTTTCATTGTCATTTTTTAAAAGTTTCCACCATCAATAAAGAGGAGTAGGAAAACTATCTTCCCAGTCTATCTGAACTATATTTCTTTGGTTGATTTTTGCCCTGGATTAAACTCTCTGAATCCCAGCGTTCCTTCGCTCTCTAAACTTCTTTTTAGACAGCATAAACTTCTTTCCATCAAAGACAAACTCACAAATCAAGCACGAGTAAGGTTGTACCTAAGCCTAAGGGTGGCCTTGACTGGATCTAATTCCCTCTACAAGCTACCAGATCTAATGCACCATTCTTCGACTTATTGCGAATAGTTTTTATGTATCATATCATCTTGTCTTTAAAAAAGATTCGGCAGGTGATTTGAGTCTTTTGCCTCTTCTATCAAGTATGAAATTTGTCTTTTGATTTTGCACAAAATTTCAAAAGCCTTTATATAAGTTATACTTCAAAAGTAGGAATTGGTGATGGTAATATGTTTAAGTTTGTGGAAGAGGTGTAGCTAGTATCAATACTCTCTTAAGTACGAAATTAATTCTAATATTCTCTGTGCGCATGAATTATGTCATAATTTACTAGGTATTGGAGAACTGCTAGAAAAAAATTCTACTTCTAATCTTCCATAATACAATGTATGAGGTATTTAATAAATTTAGTGATGAAGTTACTTAAAGTTAAGATGCATGAAGCTTAATATTGAATGGAGTCAACCTCATGATATGATAAAAGACTAGAACTTTTGAATTAAATGAGAACTCGAGGTCTTGTGATTAGTATGCCTTTTATGAGAAAAACTAACAAAATTTGTCAAATCTGTTAGAAAGAAAAATCAAATTAGATGTCATTTCTTGTAAATTCAACTTAGTGATAAGCTATTGGGATTTAGTGACTATGATTAGGTTGGCTCACATAACAATATAAAGTATCTCAAGCTTTTTTTTCTTTATTAGGTATGGTATAGTGAGTTAGAACTCAAACAACCAAGACATAATAGCACAGTTCATAACTGAAGCAGAGTATACGACTACTAACTCAATTATTAATCAAACTATATGGCTTAAAAACGTTCTTAAAGATTTGAAGTTTGAGCAAACAAGTGCAACTAGAGTCTTATGTGACTAAATCTATTGTAACAATTGTTAAAAATATTGTCATTCATGAAAAGACAAAATATGTGAAGGTTAAATTCACTTTATTAGAGAAGTCGAAAGAAAAAGTAAAATTCAGCTTGTTCTTTGCAGCTCCGAGAATCAACTTACAGACATTTTTAATAAGGGTCTATAGAAATTAAAGTTTAAAAAACTAAGAAGCAAGCTCGAAGTATGCAACATCATTAATGTATAGTTTTACCATTTTTGTTTTCTAGTGTATATTTGGTACATGTGGTTATGGTAAGTGCTAGTTAACTTACATGTGGTTATGGTAAGTGCTAGTTAACTTAAGTAGTTATATAGATATCATCATTCAGAATTTCAAACACTCTAAATTGGTCACTTTCTTATATGATTTCACAATGGATTGACATTTTTGTATATTATGTTAAAAACTGAACTATATTTTAGCAACTTACCATTTCCATTTTTATTAATTTCTTAATTTAAATTTTTTTATGGAATAGAACTATTAATAGATCCCCTTTTTTTATTTTATTCACAAATTATATTTACTTCATTTTATTTTGAAAACTAAGTTGTATTTTAATTTTAATTCTTTAAAATTTTATTACTACTAAAACATAACGCAGGTGTAACACTCATGCATATTATTATCATATTTTTTAAATTGTAGTATTTTGAACATAAAATTTAGAGTAAATAACATGTAAAAATTTAGTTTGAACAACAAGATAAAATACACTAAAAATTGAATTATAATTTATCTATTATTACGTAATCATATACATAACCTTCGCAGTTATATAACATATTGGTTGTAGTAGATCCTAAAACCAACTTTTATCCTAACAATAAATGTAAATAAGATAGATTTAATTTAATTAAAAAAATATGTCATATTCTTATAAAAATAAGATAAAAAATAAATTAGCTCACAACTAAAGAAGAATTTAATAAAGGCACAAAATCAAACTTTGTTGATTAAATAATATTATTAGGGTTGTCTATTTATTATATTATTTTCAGTTGTCAATAAAATAAATCTCACTCAGTCATGTTTTTGTATATTATCATAATTTTTTTATGTATTCCGGAAACAGTAAGTATAGAGTACAAAAAATTTAATATGTTGATTAAGTGCGAGTCCATGGTTCGCGTTTCTACCTCTGTTTCTACCCTATCCGATCTTCAAAATGAAACGAAAGAAAAGAAAAACGGTTTGTGGAGCGGAAAACTCAGTTCACCAGCATTCAAAATCTGCGACCATTTGAAAGCAAGCAGGCATTTTAGTCCAACGAGAATCAAATACCAAAACCAATCAAATTCTTTGCACAACTTTACAAAGCCATTCGAGA